AGTTGACAGACAGCATGATCTCATAATCCCCGCTGGCACAGGAATTCAGGCTAGAATTGAAATATTTTAGGTCAGAACACTGTGAACTTAAAATTTTCATTTTCAAAGAACAAGCCTCTGAAGAGAAACAAATTTTCATCTGTTAGACCATTGATCAGCTCTTAGGGCAGAGATTAAACAACAGCCTTCTACAAACATATCATCAAAATTTCTAACAGCCCCTTTCCCCACCCAACCTCAGACCCATGTGCTTCAGCATTTGCTTTTGCAGCTCCTTTTGGGTCAAGATTGTTTTCCTCTGATTCATTTTTTTTTTTTTGGTTGTGTTCAGTCAAAACATAATTAAGGCTTACCTTACCCTTTTTTTCCATTCTAGGAGCAGTTGTTTTGCATCTGTTTCCTAGAACTGGAGAGGCTGCTTAGATAGCATATTGCCTTTACAAGCCATTTTATGGTGAATTCCAGCAGATTAAAGCATAAACATTTCTGGAAGGATGTCTGCAAGCTCTGCAGTATTCCATCCATACCGTGTTCTGTTTGTTCCACTGCAAAATATGACATCATTGTGGCTGACACCTCAGAGAGGAGCTCTGGGTTAGCTGTTGTCTGAGGCTGTGACAAACAGCCAGGGAGTGCAGTGCCACCACACAGGCACTGCAGCTGCCCCCTCTGAATCCTCCCACTGGGATACATCTGTCAGATGAAAAACTCTACGCCCTTTGCTTGTTATTGCTTTAGGGTTTTGTTTAGGTTATGGTTTGGTTTTGGGGGAAAAAAAAATCAGCGCAGAGGAGGCAAGGAAATAGGCTTTTAGCTGGTGAACTGTAACTGTACAGCTTTTTGCTTTTGAATCATGCTGCACATCTGCTCTCAGCAGCAGGATTGCAAAGGTCCCTGCTGCAGATTGTTGGAACAACAATTATTCTTTGGAAACACCCTGTCCTAAAATGTAATTAATTGCTTTAAGCAAAATTGTATTCTGGATTAAGCACAACTTTTAAAGTGCCATGTGAACTTTTATTATAACAAAGTCAGAAGACAAGAATTTGGCACAAGCTTGCTTTCTTTGCCAAGTGCATGGATCTTCTCTCCAGAGGAATGGTAGATTTCATTCTGAGACCTTGTATTCCCAGAAAAGCAGGTCAGAGTGATTAGTTTCCTTCAGCTTTGTTGGATTCAGTACTGTAAATATACAAGAAGCTCCTACACATTCGGGCTACTCCTAATGTCTTTAAACATATAATGCACAAAGGGATATGTTCTTTTTCCTAGAAAATTGTTCATTTGCTCTCCTGACCCTGTTTTGATTGAAAACCCCAATTTTCATCCTGATAGGCAAGGCAGGCTTCTGGATGTTTAGTATTGAATTTGAAACATCCATCATTAGCAAAATGAGGAAATTTATTTTTCTTTTAAACAAATGGTATGATATGACAAATGTCATAAACAGAGCTGTACAGATCATAAACTGTACAGGATTTACAAAAATGGTGCTACCACATCTATAACAATTTTTTTACCCAGTGCAATTCTTGTGCTGAGAAAACTGGTGCTGTCATGAAGTACAGCACTGCTAAAATCTTATTATAGTTATTTTTTTTTTCTGTTGGAGATTAATTTTAAAAAGTGATTAAGTGCTATATTGTATTTTATGTTTATTTTGTGATAAAGTTAATTTCAAGGAAAACTGTGATAGAAAAATTAGTTTACTATGCTATGCACCTGAATATCTTACTGATACAGCAGTTCAGCTTATTCAAGTAAAATATGAATGTGTCAACTAGCTACTGGTCATGATTTCAATGTGAAACTACTATTTCTGTGTTTTTAAGGTACCACTGTATTTAGAACCAACATGCATGACAAACTGAAACACAAACTAGGGGATGTCACACACTGCAGCTGAGAGAAAACAATGTAATTTACAGAAGGATTTAAGCTCCCTCCTTCCTCTCATCTCTCATCAGCTAAAATGATTGTTTTTGTCTGGCTGCACATCACTTGTGATGTGACTTTCATATTTGACAAAATAAACATGCAGAACTTGTAGGCTGTCTTTTAATGCTTTTTTTTCCCTGTCTTGTACTGAGCTGAAATTATTTCAAGTATAATTACTTAGAACAGACACTAATGCATTTCAATTTGCACTTTGCAAACAGGTTAGTTTGTCTTCAGAAATGTAATAGTGGAAATTTATACAGCACCCATGGTTAGAGACAAATAAGATTAATGACTGTTGGGGTTTCAATGGGCCAGTGTGTGTAAAAGAACTCTAAGCAGCACCCCAACCTTCATACCATGCTATTAATTTGAATTGCTAAAACACAGTGAGGTCCTTATGAAATAGCTGACATGAAATAAGCTGACATGTAAAGATTTGCAATATGTAAAGAACTGTGAAGAGAAGAAACACTATGCACAAAAAACAAGCGATGAAAGTTTAAGAAAAACCTGAGTAACACAACAAAAAGGTATAAAAATTTGTATTTATATTATGACGAGATAATGATACAACACAATGCTACAGAACGTAGCAAGCGCCATGTACGTGTGTACAAATGGATCTGTATAATACAGTAAAATGCATCTCACAGACTATGAACCATTCCTTTGGCTCTGGGACCCAGAGGCTCTGGCACAGAACCCACTCACTAACACCTTTAGGTAACAATTTTACCAGTAAGCAGCAGAAGGCTCTCAGTCAGTGCTTCACCTGCACCAAAATTTCATCTGAAACACCCATCCTGCACAGACCCTTCCAATGCCACAAATCCTGTGTAACCACAGTTTATGCCTCTCGTGCAAAATGAAAGAAAGGAATTCTGAACTTGGCACCTTCACTCTGCTTTGCCAAGAGGCAAGCCTCTGGCTGGCCATGCTCCCCAGGAATCCTTTCCTGGGCTTATTTACAATACTTCAAGCAGAGAGAACAGCCAAGGTGACCAAATGGTCTTTTCTGTTTCATATACCCCCTGCATTTGAATTCTGGGTAGCTACGGAACACACCTGGATGTTTTCTTTACAGCTACCAATTAACAACAGTGCATTTAGACAGTCACTTAAGCAAATTGGCTCATTTCATTGCTGGCAAAATTAATTTCTGATGTGTTTGCCCCATTAGTATTTGTAGGGAGTACAACTCTTCCTTAACAGGTTCCTAAAGGGTCTCAATTATTCTTCCATCAATTTTAGAAAGTGTAAGTTAATGGATTAAATATCAGCACTGTTACTGGCTCATACCACACACAACCGATGCCCTCTACCATTTAAAAACAAATTTAACAGATTTATGAAAGAGTAATTTGAAGACATTCCTGTATCAGCAGCATCATAAAATTAAATATATAAAATTAATCTTACTTAATTAAGAGCTGTGATGATGTGGTTCTTTTCAAAAATGTGTTTCTTTCCACATGGCTGATCTGCAAGGATGAAAAATTTCACCACTAATTACCAGTCTGCCAAAAAGTTAGCAAAATGGTGAAATAATCACTTGTCCAGGAGGAGAGACTGCTCTAAGTACCTCCAGGAAAAGCAGAAGTACCCACCCAGAGCAGGTTTGCAGGCAGAGCCCACACTTGTGACTTCACCTCTTTCTGTTGCCCCGTTCACCTCTTTTGGCATTTTAAATTCACCCACTGAAATGGGTCATGCAAAGTGTAGTCAGATGCTCAGAACACTGGTATTTGTCACTGTAACTTATTTGTAGATCAACAGGTAACTATTTTTCTACTTCTATAAGCACGTGGTATAGTTGAACCCATACTCATCCATGTCAAAAATATAACACCACTGAAGTCTGTAAATTAGATCAAGTTAGATGTGTTATATTTTACGTTGTTTTTTTCAACTCTAAATCTTATACTAATAAATTAGGATTGAAACTCATCTATAAACAGCACATGGAAAACTGTCCTTCTCATGGATTTCTGGGAGGCTTTTTTATTTCTGTTTTAACCTGCTAAAACTCACTCTGAACCAAGTTTGTTCTTAGCAGAAGACAATACAGGATCCAGTCTCTGGTTAATAACGTGTTGCAGAGCTTCTACTGCCAAACCTGCTCTTTGCAGCAGATAAATAAATCAGCTGCAATGGGCCTGGCAGGGCACAAGCTGGGCAGAGAGAGGAAGGATGCGAAGGATTCATCCTCTGAATTGCAGCGGAGAACACGCAGAAAGAAGAAACAATTTTAGGCTGGGTTTTTTGGGTTTTTTTGTGCCTCCCTCTGGTGATGCCAGAGTGCAGGCAGGAGCTGGAGGAAGCACCAATCCAGGAGCAATGCAGAGGCGTGCATCCTCCGACACCTGCGTGCTGCAAGGGAAAGCCCTTCCTTTCTTCTCCCCCAGGAAACAGGCCAAACCTCTGCGTCTCCAGAAAAAGAACTCTGCGATGACTTCATCTCTCCAGAGCCCCTTCCACAGAGAAAAAGACCTAGCAGCCCTGTAATCTTGTCCCTACTGCTTTTGCAGTGTGCTAACTGCAGAGGAAATGGATGAACTGAGCAGCAGCACCTCCTCGCCTGCTTGAAGTGTGGTCACAACACGGCAGAGCTGCCAAGGTGGTGGCAGGATTTAATCTTGCAGCAAACAGTTTGCTTTTTGCAGTCCCATGTGGGCACAGGTACACTCGTGCACACACACAAGTGTCCAGGTGAGAAAAAAGAATAAAAATAACACTGTTTGCATCCCAAGATGCTGTGGCCACAGGCAGTGCTGCGCTGGCTGCTCAGCAGCAGAACCTGAAAGAACATCAGAGCCCTGACTGTCCCCAGTGACTGCAGCTCTGCTGGGGGACAGGCCAGCACCCAAACCTGACCCTAGGAACTGCTGTGCCATCGCCTCTAACGGGGCTGCTGCTGTCCAGGGGCTGTGCCTGAAAATTCCACCTTAAATTGGGCTGTGCTCCAGGGAGAATGACACAGGCAGTATGGTGTCATTTTCCTTTACCAGCGTTAATAGCTCCCAGCTGTAACAACTGAAAAAGTAAAAACAAATAAACCCTTTTTATTTCCACTCAAGATTATTCGAGTAATTTTTATTGAAAATATAAGATCTACAAAGCCATGGATACCCAGCGTGGAAGAACTCATTAAGTTAGCACATTCATCTTTAAAAGGAAAATTTCAGGTTGACCTAAGGTACAATAATGTTCAATTTAAAGTCTTGTTTTTCCTTCTGTAAGTTTCAAATCTCTTTTCATTAGGAGGTTCTGTGCAAGAGCTGCTTGTCATGAAAGGAAACACTTTACAATCCATGAATGTGTTCATTATATAATAAATGAACAGCAACAATATACTAGCCTCTTTTTTTTGTTTTTTTTTCCTGTTAACAGTCGTGTGTTAAAGTAAACTCTTATTTTTTTTTCCATGATTTGGAAATTAGTTACATATGCACCAAAGGAGCTAGTAATTTCTGCTGCTTGTCAGCTACACACAATGAGTATATTGCTGTGTGCTTTCCCCAACAATGAGGATTTTAGTAATATGCAAGGTGTACAGAATGTAATACCAAAACCTGCATCACAGAAAAGGTTAATTGTTTTCTTATTCAGCTGCCAGAGTTGATAACCTTAGGCCCCTCCCCAGAGCCAAAGTAGGGGTGGCCATCCATTAGGTTATGTAAATTAAATGTATACGTTTCCTTGTTGGCAAGTTCCAAGCAGTAAGCGAGAGTGCAAACAAGGATCTGTAAGCTGCCACAAAATGTATTCATATTTCTACTCCGTGTTGTAAGAGCCAAAGGGAGGACACGTATGTCAGATGTTGAAAGAACAACTGAACCTTTGCTTTTGATCATTATGGTCAGTCTGTCATGAGGTCTTGTATCTGAATGCTAAAAATGGCACCACACTTGGACATCCCATAGCCTTACACAGTACATTTGTGTTTCCCAAGCCACTGAGCGCTGGTCTCACAGAGACCCTGACTTTATAAGCTAACAAAAAATAGATTTGGGTGCTGAAGAATCCAAGGGAGGGCTCATACAAAGACAATTAACCCTCGCACCGAAACCTAATTTCATGATTTTACTTAAAGCCACACTGAATCAGTTGTGAGAGGGTGAAGATATAAATACACCTCTCTGCTTCATCCGTAAGAAGGTGGACAACTGACCATTTGAACAGAGGGTCTTGAAACAAAGCTTAGTTGTCCTTTAAACAATGAGAAGGAGAGGCATACATAAATGGTCACCAAGGCACAATATGACAAAGGTGAAGAGTCCCTGAGACTCTGGTCTGGGTCTGTACCATTCCCCTCCTTATACAAGTAAATGAGAACATTTAGGAAAATATAATACAAAATCTCTTACAGGAAATATAGACTACACTTGCTAAAATCACTTCCCTAAAAGTGTTTATAGCTTTTTTCTTTTTTTTTTTTTCAATTTTTTTTCTTTTTTTTTCTTCTTTTTTTATTTTTTTAAAAGACCTTCTTTAAACAGATAATGCAAAGACTGGTCCATTTTTTTCTTACCCGGCAAGCCAAGCTCTAATGACTTCACTAAGCAGAAGTTGTATTAAAATACATCTTCATAGTATTGCTACAATTTGGGTAAATATGTTCTGAACAGCTTGATGAGTACTAAATAAACTTTGCTGTTTTACAGCATACATTTTAATTTTTTTGCACTTTTTTAAGAATAGAAAATGCAATTATAGTGTGCAAAAGAAAAAAAATTAATTATCTTCTAGCTGAATACTGTAATTTTAAGCCATGCCTTCCATAAAAATGTATTGACATGTGTAAATAGAAGAGAAGAAAAAAAAATACAAGCAAACAGAGATTTCATTTCCTTGCAAGGAAAGATTAACTATCACAAACTGGATCACTTGAGTTCTGTATTCTTCAGAGAAAGAAATGGAAACAACAACCCATAAAACCACTGAAATGCTTCAAATGTCATCCATTCCACGGTAACAGGTTAAAACTGCCATGATGCTTTCTACTGCTCCCGTTAACATGGATAGAATGATTTGCTGCTGGTTGGATATTGAATACAAAAAGCAAAAGAAAGTTGAAATCATCCCACATGAAGTCATTATTAGAGCTGGCTTTTCCCCCATTTTGAAGTACAGTAGTGACTTGTAAATATGACCTTTTCTAAAGACCATTTGAGATTTGAAGATTTATCTGCCTGCTTCACCCAAAAAACAACTGCTGAAAGAATTTACTCTATGGAGCCCACTATACAGCATTCAAAATGTTTTGGGTTTGGGGTTTTTTTCAGGAAAAAATACCACAAAAAGTAGTTTTAGGTTTTTGTATCTCTGAATCACTAACACATTGTAGATTTCATTTATTCTTCCATGTTTGAAAATGGTTTCTGCAAAATCAAAATAAACTGTCAAACTCCCTTACACCATGCTTCCAACAGTTTGAATTTAATACTTCTTGAATGGAACGACATAATTTATTTCCTTTAATTTGCAGGATGGCTACATCAAGCTAGCTTTAAGTCACAACTGTACCTAACCACAGTTCTCTGCAGCAAACCCATGATTTACAATATCTAATATTGTGGTTAGAGTGCAGGGAACCGTGGGTAAGAAACCTCCATGTCAGAGCATTGTGGCTGGGGTTTCCCGGAAGAGTGGCAGTTGACACCTCTGGAATATTCATATATAAGTGCTTCAGTCAGATGGTCCTGAGTCGAGCGGGTCGCTCAGGCACTATGAGAGCCTGGCATTCAGTCTGCGGGAATGTGTGTACCCTCCGTCACTGGAACCGCTCTGCAAACTGTAGTGGTCTTCAGCATCACTGGCACTTCCAACACTGTCCATTTCACCTGGAGTAAACTCCATTCCTTCAATGTCTACTTCTAAAGAAAACACAAAAGGCACATTTTCAGAAAGTTCTAGCAACTGGGCCAGTGTCACACTTCAGTTGCAATAATTAAAAAAAAATAAGAACTGGCACAGTAATTCCTGAGGAAAGGATTGTCTTGTCCACCTGAGAATTAAAATCCCTTCGTTCCTCAGCCACATAAATATACTGCATGACAATAATAACAAATGCTTTCTCAGAACTGCTCCAACCTGCCCAGAGACACTGATTTAGAAACAAGCTGCCCCTCAGAGGTTGTTGTACTGCAGCACTGTCCATGGCAATTCCAACCATGCAGGTGTTGGCTGCCCATGGTGGGACCACCTGTCCCCAGGTAAGTGCCCCAAGACCGACCACTCAACCCCCCAGGGCCCCGACTGTTCTGCCCAGAAAATCCTCCAAATGGGAAAATAAGAAATGGCAACAGCCAGCTTGACAAGCTGTCTTAAATGAGAACCAAATGCAGAGAACCCTTGGTGATCGTTGCACAGAAAATGTTTTAAAATTTCACAATAAATAATGTGGAAATAATTTACTCATGCAAATGAATTAAGCCAAATAAGATTTGCTTTTCCATGAGAAAACGTTATGCCAGCCTTACCAATAATTTAACTAAAAATTCAAAACATCAAATGGTAATTGTTAAAAAAACTGGCAAAAACAAATGCAGGATAAACAGCTTTAAAACCACACATAATATTAACAGCTTCAAAACTGATTAGGAAAAAAAAAACATTTTTCAAAGAATGTGAAAAAGATGCCTTATTTTTTTAATATTCAAATGGCATTATGTTATAATTTTGTCTGGGTTTTGTTGAAAGCTTGGTTTCAGTTCCAAATGGCATTTCCTGGTTTCCCCACTCCCCTGTGGCTCGGTTACCTTGTTCAGAGTCAGTGGATATTGTTGATCCCATGCTGTCAGTGCGGATTCTCTCCATGCCCTGCACGGATAGCTGCTCCAATCTGCGCTTGAGGTAGCGGTGCTCCCGCTGTAATTGTTCTTTAATATTTAGAGCTTTTCGGTCCTGTTCTTCCAATTTCTTAAAGGGAGAGAAACACGGTCAGCTGACAGTTTGTACCCATAAAGCATAAGTAACTTAAGGTTTTGTTGTAAACAGCAATTTGAAAGCAATTTAAGAATTTTAATTAATTAATATAAAGTTCAAATTAAATTTAAAATTTCAATTTTTTTAGTTAGCATTCTGTAGAGGTCAGTACAATTTTAGCAGGTTGAATTTGTTTCAATGTAAGATATATGGTTACAGGGGAAAAAAAATTATAATTTAAAAAAACCCTCTGAGACTCTCTTGCCACTAGCAGACGTTCATTGGCTAAGAACAAATTATTGTTGCCTTGGTTGTGGAGAATATTTAAATCATTTTCTCAGGCGAAACCAGCATCATCTTTGGTAACTCGAGCACAGCTCAGGTTTCAGTGAGAACATAATGCATCTTTACATGAGCCTCTTACTTCACCTATCACCATAAAGGAACCATCATCAGCCTCTGAATGTTATCCCTCCTACTGCAGGCCATGGAAAATTTTAGCATTTAAAAAGCTTCATTAACAATAAGCAGCATTAATTATATATAGAAGGAGCAATTTACTAACAACCCTCTTTATTCTCTTTTTTTTCCTTGTACTTCTCCAGAGCAAGTATAATAATTCTGTGATATCATCTACAAAGTCAATGGTATTAATTCAGAATTTCTCAGCAAAGAGCCTGTGAAAGGATCCTTCACCTATCTACCTAAAATCTCCCCTCTGACAGAATAAAAGCAGGTATTAATTTTGCAAATAAAAAGAATGCTTCACACCCAGTGAAATGTGCTGCACTGTTGGTCCAAATACAGTAACAGGAATAAAGTGCCTTTTTGTATTTGAACTGAGCCCTTCTCCAAATCACTGCTAGCCATTTAAAAAAACTGACTGCATAGTTAGGGAAAAATTTGTAAGAGTATGATGGGATTAAAAGCATGAAGGATACACAAATCTAAACACCTTTTATTATAAAAAATTATCTATCTGATGCAGTAAATTACAGGTTGTAGCAGTAAAAGCACTCGTAAGAGTGAGCAGATTTCTCTGTGAGCTGTGTTTACATGATCACTGAGATTTAGGAGATGTGCAGGGAGTGAATGCAGCTGCTGAAGTCTCCTCCCTGCTGTCTGAATGAACCTAGGCTTGGTTTTCTGAGGAGAGCAGGCTGGGACAGTGCACAGCAAAATAAGCAAAAACCTTTCAGAGATCTTGCTGTTCCCATGCAAGCCTGAAATAAAAGTGTTTGAAAAAATAATTGACACCCCTGAATGGGGCAGTTTCCTGACTCAATGAAATCCACCTTCTTCCGCCACATTTTAAGCCCCCTCCCAGGCAATACACTCTGCAGATAATCATCATAGGTGGATACACAATGTTAGAATAGGAAAAGGGGCTGGTACATCCATGTACACAACAAACCAAATGTGCCCAATTGATCAGACTTCCTTTTCCTGTATTTTCCTGGCTGCAATCCCGAACTCTAACAACTATTTTAGGAAAGAACTCAGTGATTCATATCCAGGAGACTCAAAACCATCCAGTCTTTCAGAGCAGATCTCAATATATGGGGGGGGGGGGGGGGGGGGGGGGTGTGTGTGTGTGTGAAAAGTTGAGAACTAATGGTTGTGTTCCAAATGCCAGCCAGGCACGGGCAAGCTCTGGCAGGGCAGGGGAGGGAGCTGACCTGGCAAAGGGCAGCAATTAAATGCTAACCCAGTTTGGGCAGGTTCAGTTAAAATCTTAAAAAGAAAGTTAAACTTCGGTTTTCAGAAGATGAGTACTTGGTGCTGTGCAAGGCAGATTTGGAAAGAATCTGTTCCCAGCTTTTTTTATCAGCAGCTGAAATGGTAACTACAGGGCTAATCTCTCACACTCGCCACTTGTAAAAACACTTTTTCAATTTGTATGCATAAGCCCATCATAGGGGGGCAGCCCAAGACAAAAACCACATGCAGTGCCTTTCATGCATGTTAGCCTGAATTATAAACAAGAGGCCAAAATCTCCAATGGTAAAAACAGGGGTTGCCCAGCTGGAGTAAATGTGCTTAGAAGTGCTGAAAAAGTAGCTCTGTAAACTTGTTAATAAGAATGGTTTTGCTTAAATTAATCTTTATTTTTTCATATGAATTACACCCACTTCTGTAACAGCAGTGAATCTTAAAGCTGTGCATCAGCAGGATGTTCTCCAAAATATTCCAAGATTACTGGCAGTGTTCAATTTTGCCTGACACTTTTCTTGACCTGTTTCTCTGTAACACTGAAAAAATGCCAGATGAGTAATTACAGTCCTGGACACAGCAGCAGAAACCTGTTCTTTAACTTCTACATTTGAATACCTCTTTGTCTTATTTCTGCATATAACCCTGTTCCCTGAAAACAATGACAGTGAAAATGGGAGTGAAGGTGTCTTTGGAGAGAGAAGGCCTGAGGAATAATTTCCTTTGAATTACCTGTGCAAATGTAGAACCTGCACTGCTGCTGGATCATAGGTAAGATTTAAGGCTGTTTTTCATTTTAAACTTGTAACAAGGGGAGCAGCAACTAACAGGAGATTGAAATTAATTTTTTGTTTCATTTAAACGAAAACCTGGTCAACAAAATGTTGATGGGGTAAGGCTGATATGATATTTTTTATTCCTTTTTTTCATCATTAATGGATCTGGCTTCTTACATTTTAGCAAATGCAGTACAATGCTACTTTGCTAGTTTCTTAAAAAGAAATATATTAATCAAAGAACAGCTTTTACAGATTTTTAAAATTATAGCGTAAATCATTAAATACACTAGTTAGCAACTAAGAAATCACAAAACCACTGTTTTATATATCTGAGATGCTAAACTGCAAAACACTAAACTTTGACACTGTGACTGAAATCCCTGCAAGTAATAAAGGCCAACAAATCCAGAAGACTGGACATATGGATATGGATTTTGTGCGAAAATTTGTTTTCTCTCTATGGATACACATTCTGGAAGATTCTCCCTTGAAAGAAATAAAAACATGGATGAGTGTTTTTACCTTGATATGCATCTTAGCTCTTTTCAACAGACTTAGAGTGGTGTGTCTGGTGCTGTCCGGCCCGAGAGGCACAAGCTGTTTTAGCTGTTCCAAATATAGCCGGAGTTTAGCCCGCCTGCAATCATTAAAAACCAAGAGTTGTAGTGGAGTTGCACCCGAACAGAATCTCCTATATGCAAACACCATCTGTTTGCAGGATCTCTGTGCAGAACTCGAGTCAACCGTGGCTTCCTTTCCCCTCCCTTTGGCAAAGTTTCAGACCGAAAGGTCACTTGAAATGCAGTACCGCTGCTTGGCACACGCAGACAGGAGGCTCATACCTGTATGTCAGAGCAGTTTGCTCAGCCTGCTCAGTCCCATCTTAGCCAAAAGGGAGTATGCTCAGACATCTGAGACATCCAGGCAAGGCTGCACACTCAACCTGTGGCAGGGTAAGGCCAAAAACCTGGGATTTTGCTCCAAAGCAGTGATTTCTGCAGGCACAGACAGAGCTGCAGACCCTGATCCCCCTCTCCCCATTCCTATCCCTGCCTGCTGCAATAGGAGACACTCCAGCTATGCAAGCCAAGGGCATCCAGGCAGCTCTTCACAGCTCAGAGCTGTTTCCAGCCATGGTTTCCTCCACAGGGAGGTCCTGATGCCCTTCTCCTCCCTTCTACTGACCCACAGTCCTCCCAGAAGGAGACATTCTTCCTCACACTGCACTGTGTTTATTATAAACACAAGAAGAAACATTTCCAGCCATATTCCTCAACAACAGGCTCCTGCTTTCTCTGTTATTCCTTTGCAAGTATCACTATTGCTGCTTTCAACAACCTCTCCTGTACTACTGCCATATCTATCAGTAAAACGATGAGGAAGAAAGAACTATTTCTGCAAATGTTTTCCAACTAGAAAGCAGCTGGCAATACAACAGTCCATGAAAGAGTTGCTTGACCTATCCAAAACAAGGCAGTGGCCAACCAAAGAACTGCATGGGAGTGTGTTTCTGCAGTTACATCCTGAAGAAAATCTCTCCTGGTTTTAATTCACAGCCCTTGAAGAGGAATCCACACGGTTCTGCAATGAGAAATGGATGTGGAAGTGCTTCCATGAGTAACTGCTATCCTCCTTTCTGCCAGCCTGTGACAGGCTGAGCAAAGCCATGACCTGGAGCTGACACTGCCCTCACAGCCATGAGAGGAACTGAAGCAGATCCCAAGTGTGAGGTGAATAATCATCTTTTTCAAATTTGCTCGATGCTGCATGAAGGAAACAAACACTGCAGGGAACTCAACACTTCTGGTCAAGAAGGAACTTTCTTTTGAACAATGAGCTCAGAACCACAGTCCTGCATCAGTGTGTGAAATGGACAAACACTCTGGGGCACAAACACTCTTCAGCAGGCTTTAATATGCACCAAATGACAAATTAAGCATTTGTAATTGGAATGACTAGTGCAATGTGGAAACAACCTGAGAATTAATGGTGAAAAAACCCAAAGCAAAACAGAACTAATACAGAACAGTAATGACTACATACTCACACATTTAGTTCTGTCTGCCTATAAATCAGCAGTGTACTAGCTAAGAAACCACAAAGCATTTCCATAAACTTTTAATTTTTTTCTTCAAGACACTTAGGGAAAAAGGATTTTTGGTAAAAAATGTGATTGATGACAGACTTCTTGTTTAGGTCTGGGGTTTGATTTTAAGTACAAGGTTCTAAACTTAAGCATCTAAATGCTTTTATTTAAACAGTACCAACAAAGCTGACCAAAGTATTCACAAAAATAGCCCAGTCAGATCACCAGGCTGCTACCTTAAACTGGGATATTAATCTTTAAAATAGTGAAATACCCAAATTAGGGACTACTGATATTTATACAGAAAATCTTAACAAAGCAAATTTTTATTTCTGCATCTGCAATCTCTAACAACTACCTGGGGGAGTTGCATTTTAAATACAAAACCTTGTGTCAGGGACTAAATTCAAATAATCTTCTTGTTTTCTAGACGGCCTCTAACATACCTACATGAGTCTGTTTCACTCAGCCCAACCTGGATGCAACTGTACTTGGACTGATGACAAGAAAGTGGGGAGTGAAGATGAAGGAGCATATAGGAAGGGAGAGGAGAAAGATGGTATTAAACAGTAAATAGAGAGGTAAACACCTAGAAATGCAATGAGCAATATACTTGGAGCCATTAGAAGTCTGATAAGGAATATACAGAACTGTTGATTGAGATTTATTTAGTATTAATTCTGGAAAACACTAATGAAACCAGACTACATACTAAACTTATCCACCTCTTGCTATTTAAGGAAAGTCTGCTTACCACAGGGAGAAGAAAGCAAGGCTTTAGTGCACTTCCTTGCCATCAACTGGGGAGTTCACAGAAATATCAGGGGCATGGCTGTGTGCCTTTTTAAAGCACAAACTCTTTTATGTTACCTGCCAGCCCAGTAGGGCAGGACTTTACAGAAGTGCCATAAAGAACATGGGACTGCATCTAAGAAGAGTATTTTCAAGTGACCAGTGAGAAGAATTAAAAGGGCTGAATATGAACAAAACTGCTTTAAGGCTTTTTCAGTACTACCAGCTGATATTGATAGCAGTAAATGTAATAAACTTGCTGAAAAACCTCCTCTAACTTCACTTTTTTTTTTCTTAAAAGGAGTTTTTGTTTCATCTAATTACTCAACACCTCAGCAGTAAATGTAATAAACTTGCTGAAAGACCTCCTCTAACTTCACTTTTTTTTTTTTTCTTAAAAGGAGTTTTTGTTTCATCTAATTACTCAACACCTATGAATCCATTACAGATTTTAAAGCATAAGCTTTACATAGATCTTTACATAAATGCAGACATATTTATGTGACTAATTTGTATATTATAATCAATATCATAGATTGTGAATGCACAAAAAGAAGACCAGCCCACCACAACTCCTCTAGTACTGGAGTAAATATCCCCACATTTTTCATCTTGCATGTCTTAGAAAAAACTGTAAGAATGTAAGAAAACATTTCAGGCATGTTACGTTAACAGATCACACCAGCAGGAACAAGGGACTCAAACTTCACAGCAGATAAGTTGTCTTGTACAGACTCTGCCAGCACTAATTTCTCTCTTTTTCTGCAGGGACCTGACAGCTTTTGCTTTTCCTCGGCTGCCTGTGACCACAGGAGGAGGGAAAGGCACTCACAGAGGTAATCACAGCCAGAGCTGCTTTGTGTTTTGCAGCTCACGCCTTAAATTCCACCTAAAAAAATAACAAAAAGGGGAAAAAAAAAAGCAGCCTGTCAGAGCAACAGGGTAACAGTCTCTGTGCATGAAACATGGTTGAAGTTGGCTAATTATGCTCTGCTCCAGCTTCCAACCCCAGTGTGGTATCAGGCCTGGACACCAGAGCTGACAGAAAAGGGCAATTTCCTCATCTCAGGGGGATGCACAGAAATATCCCCCTCATCACTGATACTGATTTCATCTGGGAAGGCAGGGATCTAAAAAATGCCACCCAAAATCCAAATCAAGCCTGCAGCTCTCTGTTTTGGGTGCAGCCCCACATATGGAGAGGTGCATGGGTGTCTGATTTATCACCCTGTCCTTTGTGCCAGATGATAAAGGGCTTTCAGATGTTCAAGACCCCAGTGTTTCTCCCTAAGCAGGTTCACAGCAGGGTCCTCTCAGTCTGCTTTACAGCTTTCTAATGCTTGATAAGCCCAGGCTGGTCAGCATTCCAGGGCAGGGGCCATGTCTAGCAGCTGTCTGGTGGTTCCTCACATTCACACAGAGGACAAAGCCACCTGCTGCCATCTGACCCAAAGGCTACCAGCAGGAACTGCCTTAAACTGGTTTTGAATCCACGTAAGCCATGATGGGCAGTAGAGGCAGGGCTTCCAGAGCCCATGGCACAATGAACCCTGGAGCCCACAGCATGGAGGGAAAAGCAGCAAAAAGGTGATATTAATGCTTTTCCTATAGAACAAGGACATCCACCAGAAGACCATCACAGGAAGACCACTCACTGACTCTAGTCCTTGGACACTCCAGTTTGCTCAAGTGTTTGGCTGTGAAAAGGCAGGTTCATCACTTCTCAAAGAAAGGGTTGCCATACAAAGGTATATTAAGATCTTTGACCCTAATCAATTTCATAATTGTGTTAAATGAGTCTATTAAATAATAGCCAATAAGCTTTGCTGCATATACGAAATCCCAGAGGGAAATCCAAGCAGCACACCAAGAAATGGAATACTAAGATGCAGAAAAAAAATAAAGAAACAAGAAAGTCCATTGTTCACCCTGGATAATCTTCATTCCAAGGAAACTGCAACAACTCCAAGAAATTCCTACAACTACTTGACAGGCGGTTGCAATGGGAACAAAATACTTCTCTGTAGGGCTAAATAATACAACCAAAGGCAATGGCAGTGGATTCAGAGGTTCAGGGTGGACATTGGGAAACAAATTTTTTATTGGGACAGTGGTGAGCAACCAGAATAGGTTGCCCAGAAAGGCAATCCTTGGAGGTTCTTAAAGATTTACCCAGACAGAGCCATAAACATTCACAGACACACATCCATGTCCATGAACATGTAAACCCAAGATTGCCTTGGGTTTGCTAACCCCTTAGCATTTGACTCACAAGATTGTTCCCATTCATGTACCAGCAACACATGCCCAGCTGTGTGGCTTAAACTTGTGCCACTCTGGTTGGCAGACTGCTGGTAGGTTTGTGGAGTGGCCTGATCCACTGCAGCCTTTCCACAGGGGCTCTCCAGGGCTTTGTCAGGTCCAGCACAGCAGAGAGAAATGGCCTGCAGCCAGCCAGACAGCAGAGAGCTGCTCAAGCAGCAGTTGCACAGTTTTCTGACAGCAGCAAAGGTGTGTTTCCTAAACCATTCAAGTATAAATCTACAGGCTTTATTTAGAGGCCACTGAGCTGCACAAAGCCAGCTGCAAAGGCAAGGTGCATATCCCAAAGGAGCTGCTCAGTCCTTGCCATGGCATGCCTCAGCCAGGCCCTGGTGACATTAAATGGCCACAGACACTCATGATGCAGGGTGACATTACTGAGTTCCTGTGAAATGTGTGCCTGTCCATCCTGCCACCCCAGCTGGGCACTCCCTGCA